TTTGATAGAGCAGCACAGCTGACAGTCTCTCTGCCATGTTTGGGAGAAGTCAGCAATGCTATCAGCCAACAAAAATAATAACAAAGCCAGCTGGCCTGACGGGATCCCTGCTGAAATCTTTAAAGAGGGAGGACCTGAGCTGACACAACAACTCCACCAGCTCATAGAAAAAGTGTGGGTGACCGAGAAAATCCCAGCAGATTTCAAGGATGCCACCATCATCACCCTCTTCAAAAAAGGGGAAAGAACAGACTGCGGAAACTATCGAGGTATCTCCCTTCTAACCTCTGCTGGGAAAATCCTCGCAAGAATCCTTGCAAACCGCCTTCTGCCCCTCTCAGAAGACACCCTCCCAGAATCCCAGAATGGCTTCCGCCCCTCCAGAGGAACCGTGGACATGATCTTCACTGCACGACAGCTCCAAGAAAAATGCAGGGAACAAAACCAACCTCTGTACATGGCATTCATCGACCTTGCAAAGGCATTCGACACAGTGAACCGCAGCGCTCTCTGGACCATCCTCCACAAAATCGGGTGCCCAACAAATTTGTGAACATCCTGCGGCTTCTCCATGATGACATGATGGCAACAGTCTTGGACAGCAATGGCTCCCAAAGTGACCCATTCAAGGTGGAATCAGGCATCAAACAGGGATGTGTTATTGCCCCAACTCTATTCTCCATCTTCATTGCTATGATACTTCATCCTTGTTGATGGGAAGCTTCTCACCGGAGTGGAAATCATCTATCGGACAGATGGCAAGCTATTTAACTTCAGCAGAGTGAAAGCCAAAACCAAGGTTGCAACAACATCTGTTATAGAACTCCAGTATGCTGATGACAACGTGTCTGTGCGCATTCAGAAGAAGATCTACAAGCCACTCTAAACACCTTCGCAGAAGCATACACGAAGCTTGGCCTGTCACTGAACATCGAGAAAACCAAAGTGCTCTCCCAGCAGTCACCAGCCAATCCCTCTCCAATGCCAAAGATACAGCTTAATGGTGTAACATTAGAAAATGTTGACCATTTCTGCTACCTTGGCAGCCACCTCTCCACAAAAGTCAACATTGACACCGAAATACAACACCGCCTGAGCTCTGTGAGTGCAGCATCCTTCTGAATGAGGCAGAGAGTGTTTGAGGACCGGGACATCCATAGGGAGACCAAGGTGCTTGTCTATAAATCTATTGTCCTCCCAACCCAACTCTACGCCTATAAAGCATGGACTATCTACAGACATCACGTGCAATTCCTGGAAAGATTCCATCAGCATTGCCTCCAAAAAATCCTGCAAATATCCTGGGAAGACAAATGTCAGAAGTTAAGACCACCAGCATTGAAGCGATGCTCCTCCACCATCAACTCCGCTGGACCGGCCATGTCGTCCAAATGCCCAAAGATCACCGTCTCTCAAAGCAGTTACTCTACTCTCAAGAACTGATGGACAGGAAAAGAGATTGAAAGATGGGCTTAAAGCCAAGCTCAAAAACTGTGAAATAGGCACTGAGAAAGAACTGGGAAGCCCTGGCCCTTGAGCCTTCTGCTGGACCGGTCAGGTTGTCCAAATGCCCAAAGATCACCGTCTCCCAAAGCAGTTACTCTACTACAAACTCGAAAACTGGTGGACAGGAAAAGAGATTGAAAGATGGACTTAAAGCCAATCTCAAAAACTGTGCAATAGGTACTGAGAATTCGGAGGCCCTGGCCCTTGAGCGCTCAAGCTGGAGGTCAGCTGTGACCAGCAGTGCTGTTGAATTTGAAGAATCACAAATGGAGGGTGAAAGCAAGAAATGTGCCAAGAGGAAGGCGCTTTAAGTCAACCCTGACCGGGACCACCTTCCACCTGGAAACCGATGCCCTCACTGTGGGAGAACATGCAGGTCAAGAATAGGGCTCCGCAGTCACCTATGGACCCGCTGCCAGGACACCAACCTTGGAGGACAATCTTACTCGGACTACGAGGGATCACCTAAGTAAAGTAAGTACTTAAAAGTTATGTAAATCTCCTGTGGTCATTATTTTGAGTTTTGTAATGTGCAGCTATAAACCTGCCTTTTGATATTCTTCTTTTGTTTCTCTTCATTAAACTTTCCAAGCCTTTGCTACTTCCTGATAGTAGCACAGTGTCATCTACATATATTAAATAGTTGATATCCTTCCTCATAAGGTCCTCAGGGTCTATTCCTCAGTTTCTAATTTTGACTTTGCACCTGATCTTCTCTTTCTGTTTCAGAATTTGGCTTCTGCCTGATTGGGCATTATGCTGACTTTTGGCTACACATGGCTATCCCTATTGTCATGCAAAGTCTTCCGAGGTGGCACCAACTTGAATGGGCAATTGGGAACCCATTTGTTTCTCAAAAGACCTGGGAAAATGCTGGGATTGATGGGATGATCAAGAGATACCTGTCTCCATTCTTGTCGCTATAGGAATGTCATTGTAAATACCACCAGGCCAAAAGTTACCAATATACAACGGGGCGTCTTCAGCAAGTGAAAATAAAACACTTCTACTGAACTTTGGGTTTCCTTCCCTGCTTCTCTTGTACAAATAGATAAAAAGAATAGCCTGTGATATAGACAACACAAGGCAAAACATGAATTAAATATATCACAATATTGTCACATTAGAAGAGACCACAAGGGCTATGCAGTCCATGTCTGGCTCCATTGAACTTTCCAATGGCTTTTGTTCTGAGATGATTTGCAGCATAGAATCCTAGAATCACTGAGTTGGCCATCCAGTCCAACCCCATTCTGCCAAGAAGCAGGAATATTGCATTCAAAGCACCCCTGACAGATGGCCATCCAGCCTCTGCTTCAAAGCCTGCAAAGAAGGAGCCTCCACCACACTCCTGGGCAGAGAGTTCCACTGCTGAACGGCTCTCACAGTCAGGGAGTTCTTCCTCATGTTCAGATGGAATCTCCTCTCTTGTAGTGTCTTGTATCTCTCTTGAATTGCAGTGCCCAGAATTGGACACAATATTCCAGGTGTGGTCTAACCAAGGCAGAATAGAGCATGGGGAGCATGACTTCCCTTCGGTCCAGCAGAGATGGAATCTCGTCATGTTCAGATGGAATCTCCTCTCTTGTTGTTTGAAACCATTGTTCCGCATCCTAATCTCCAAGGAAGCAGAAAGGAAGCTTGCTCCCTCCTCCCTGTGGCTTCCTCTCACATATTTATACATGGCTATCATATCTCCTCTCAGCCTTCTCTTCTTCAGGCTAAACATGCCCAGCTCCTTAAGCCGCTCCTCATAGGGCTTGTTCTCCAGACCCTTGATCATTTTAGTCGGCCTCCTCTGGACACATTCCAGCTTGTCAATATCTCTCTTGAATTGTGGTGCCCAGAATTGGACACAATATTCCAGGTGTGGTCTAACCAAGGTAGAATACAGCATGGGGAGCATGACTTCCCTAGATCTAGACACTAGGCTCCTATTGATGCAGGCCAAAATCCCATTGGCTTTTTTGGGATGACATTGCTGGCTCATGTTTAACTTGCTGTCCACACGTCGTGCTCTCGAGCGAGGCCTCATCGTCCCCCATTCTGTATCTTTGCATTTCGTTTTTCCTGCCAAAGTGGAGTATCTTGCATTTGTCCCCGTTGAACTTCATTTTGTTAGTTTTGGCCCATCTCTCTAATCTGTCAAGATCGTTTTGAATCCTGCTCCTGTCCTCTGGAGTATTGGCTCTCCCTCCCAATTTGGTGTCGTCTGCAAACTTGATGATCCTGCCTTCTAACCCTTCATCTAAGTCATTAATAAAGATGTTGAAGAGGACCGGGCCCAGGACGGAACCCTCCTGATGGCACTCCGACTGTCACTTCTTTCCAGGATGAAGAGGAAGCATTGGTGAGCACCCTCTGGGTTCGTCCATTTAACCAATTACAGATCCACCTAACCATAGTTTTGCCTAGCCCATATTGGACTAGTTTGTTTGCCAGAAGGTCATGAGGGACCTTGTCGAAGAAGGCCTTCCTGAAATCCAGGTGCAGCAGCCATGAAAATGCCCTGTTTTCAGATTTTGCCCACTGCATGAGGAACTAGCTCAAGCAGGGAGATGGAATGAATTAAATATAGAATTTTCTATGCTGACGATCGTGCCATCAATGCTCAAGTAGGGAGCTTTGACATGGTTGAACAGAAGCTCTCCAAAGTGTGAGATGCTCTTACTGCCTATTCCAGGGAAAACCTAATCCATCTAAAACACAGACGTGTGCTTTCCACCTTCAGAACAGACAAGCATCTCGAACTCTGAGGATTCCCTGGGAAGGAATCCCACTGGAGCATTGCAGCACACCAACATACCTGGGAGTCACTCTGGACCGTACTCTGACTTAGAAGAAGCACTGATTGACTATCAAGCAAAAAGTGGGTGCTAGAAACAATATCATATGGAAGCTAACTGGCACAACCTGGGGATCACAACCAGATACAGTGAAGACATCTGCCCTTGCGCTGTGCTACTCTGCTGCTGAGTATGCATGCCCAGTGTGGAACACATTTCACCACACTAAAACAGTGGATGTGGCTCTTAATGAGACATGCCGCATTATCATGGGGTGTCTGCGCCCGACACCAGGGACAGAGAGTTCCATTTATGCTGATGATCATGCCATCACCACCCAAACAGGGAGCTTTGAGATGGTTGAACAGAAGCTCTTCAAAGCTTTAGGTGCTCTTACTGCCTATGACAGGGAAAACCAACTGAATCCTAATCTATCTGAAATGCAGACATGTGCTTTTCACCTTAAGAATAGACAAGCATCTCGAGCTCTGAGGATGACCTGGGAAGGAATCCCACTGGAGCATTGCAGCCACCCAAATACCTGGGAGTCACTCTGGACCGTGCCCTGACCTACAAGAAGCACTGCTTGAATATCAAGCAAAAAGTGGGTGCTAGAAATAATATCATACGAAAGCTGACTGGCACAACCTGGGGATCACAACCAGACACAGTGAAGACATCTGCCCTTGTGCTTGGCTACTCTGCTGCTGAGTACACCTGCCCAGCATGGAATACATCTCACCAAGTTAAAACCGTGGGAGTGACTCTTAAAGAGACATGCTGCATTATCACAGGATGTCTACACCCTACACTGCTGGAGGAATGATACTATTTAGCTGGTAACACACCACCTGATATCATCAGGAAGTAGCAGCCTGTAATGAAAGGACCAAGGCAGTGACATGTCTGACCCATCCTCTGTTTGGATATCAGCCAGTACAATGCCTTAAAGCAAGAAACAGCTTTCTAAGATCTACAGAGAACTCAGGAACACCTCAGCAAGCAAGAGTCCAAAAGTGGCAGGCTCAAACCCAGAACCTCAACCAATGGCTGATACCGAATGAGAGACTCCCTCCTGGGCACACAGAAGACTGGGCGACTTGGAAGGCGCTGAACAGACTGCGCTCTGGCACCACGAGATGCAGAGCCAACTTCAAGAAATGGGGCCACAAAGTGGAATCCACGACATGCGAGTGTGGAGAAGAGCAAACCACTGACCACCTGCTGCAATGCAACCTGAGCCCTGCCACATGCACAATGGAGGACCTTCTTGCAGCAACACCAAAGGCACTCCAAGTGGCCAGCTTCTGCTCAAAGGACATTAACTTTGTGTTTCTAAATACATAATAATTCTCAATTCGCTTGACACAATAAATAAATGGGAAGCTAGAGAACTCCATCAACACACATGCACAACGCCTGGCGCTTTGAGCCAAGCACCTTTCAAAACCAGAACAACAGAACACTTCCTTTTGATGAAACCTGAAAGGCGAACTCTCTCGAGTGTTGTGTTCAGAGCTGCAGTAGTTTACGATACGGCTGCAAATTTGTTTTTTGGGGAGTTTTTTGGAAGCGTGCATCTGTTTGGCGGTTCCGTTGCCAGGATCTCATTCCTGACGGCAACAAGCGTTGCACGGCGCTTAAGGTTCGGCACCGGCTGCCAGGAATCTCCAACGGGATAATTCCATGACCTTGGAAACCCAGCAGATGCATTCCACATCTGCCCGGGATGGGAAAGCGGGAGGCCGTTGGGCGTGTGAAAAGCGGGGTGGGAAAAGCAGAGGCACCGAAAAAGAAGCGTTGGTCCAGCCGCCCATTTTCACAGATCCAATCCCACTCTCCTGCAGGTCTAGGGAGCTGCCCAACAGCATGCTGGTCAAGCTGCTTGAACATTTAGACCAACTTTGGCTCTTCGTGTGTTTTATTATATACTAGCCGTCCCCTGCCACGCGTTGCTGTGGCCCACATGGTGGTTTTGTGTGGGAGGTTTGGCCCAATTCTATTGTTGGTGGGGTTCAGAATGCCCTGTGATCACCTAGGGATCACTATAAATCCCAGCAACTACAACTCCCAAATGTCAAGATTCTATTTCCCCCAAACTCCACCAGTGTTCACATTTGGGCATAATGAGTCTTTGTGTAGAGTTTGGTCCAGACCCATCATTGTTTGAGTCCACAGTGATCTCTGGATGTAGGTGAACTACAACTCCAAAACCAAAGGACACTGCCCACCAAACCCTTCCAGTACTTTCTGTTGGTCATGGGGGAACTGTGTGCCAAGTTTGGTTCAATTCCATCATTGGTGGAGTTCAGAATGCTCTTTGATTGTAAGTAAACTATAAATCCCAGCAACTACAACTCCCAAATGTCAAGGTTCTATTTTCCCCAAACACCACCAGTGTTCACATTTGGGCATATTGAGTCTTTGGGTAGAGTTTGGTCCAGACCCATCATTGTTTGAGTCCACAGTGATCTCTGGATGTAGGTGAACTACAACTCCAAAACCAAAGGACACTGCCCATCAAACCCTTCCAGTACTTTCTGTTGGTCATGAGGGAACTGTGTGCCAAGTTTGGTTCAATTCCATCATTGGTGGAGTTCAGAATGCTCTTTGATTGTAAGTAAACTATAAATCCCAGCAACTACAACACCCAAACGATGAAATTCTTGTTTTTTTAGCAATGGTCACTCCTTGGGTTAGTAGGGGTCTTGTGGCCAAATTTGGCGGCAATTCGTCCAGTGGTTTTTGAGTTATGTTAATCCCACAACTTCCTTCCTTCCTTCCTTCCTTCCTTCCTTCCTTTCCCTTTTTCCTTTCCTTTCATTCCCCTTTTTCCTTTCCTTTCTCCTTCCTTCCTTCCTTCCTTCCTTCCTTCCTTCCTCTTTCCTTCTCTTTCCTTCTCTCCTTCCTTCCTTCCTTCCTTCCTTCCTTCCTTCCTTCCTTCCTTCCTTCCCTCTTTGGTTCCATCTTTCCTTGTCTCCTTCCTTCCTTCCTTCCTTCCTTCCTTCCTTCCTTCTTTCCTTCCCTCTTTCTTTCTTCCCTTCCTCCTTTCCTTTCCTTCCTTTCCTTCCTTCCTTCCTTCCTTCCCTCTTTCCTTCCTTTCCCTTCCTTCTCTCTCTTTCCTCCTTCCTTCCTTCCTTCCTTCCTCCTTCCTTCCTCCTTCCCCTCCTTCCTTCCTTCATTCCCTCTTTCCTTTTCTTTCCTTCCTTCCTTCTTCTTCCTTCTTTCTTCCTCTTCCTTCCTTCCTTCCTTCCTTCCTTCCTTCCTTCCTTCCTTCCTTCCCTCTTTGGTTCCATCTTTCCTTGTCTCCTTCCTTCCTTCCTTCCTTCCTTCCTTCCTTCCTTCCTTCCTTCCTTCCTTCCCTCTTTGGTTCCATCTTTCCTTGTCTCCTTCCTTCCTTCCTTCTTTCCTTCCTTCCTTCCTTCCTTCCTTCCTTCCTTCCTTCCTTCCTTCCTTCCTTCCTCTTGGTTGTCTTTCCTTGTTCCTTCCTTCCTTTCCTTCTTTTCCTTCCTTCCTTCCTTCCTTCCTTCCCTCTTTTTCCTTTCACTTTTCCTCCTTCCTCCTTCCTCCTTCCTTCCTTCCTCCTTCCTTCCTCCTTCCTTCCTTCCCTCCTCTTCTTCCTCCTTCCTTTGTTCCTTCCTTCCTTCCTTCCTTCCTTCCTTCTTTTTCCTCCCTCCTTTCTTCCTTCCTTCTTTCCTCCTTCCTTCCTTCCTTCCTTTCCTTCCTTCCTTCCCTCTTCCTTCCTTTTCCTTTCCTCCTTCCTTCCTTCCTTCCTTCCTTCCTTCCTTCCCTCTTTTTTTCCTTTTCTCCTTCCTTCCTTCCTTTCCTCCTTCCTTCCTCCTTCCTTCCTTCCTTCCTTCTCTTTGGTTCCATCTTTCCTTGTCTCCTTCCTCCTTCCTTCCTCTTCCTTCCTTCCTTCCTTCCTTCCTTCCTTCCTTCCTTCCTTCCTCTTTTCTCTTCCTTTCTCCTTCCTTCCCTTTGGTTCCATCTTTCCTTGTCTCCTCCTTCCTTCCTTCCTTCGTTCCCTTCCTTCCTTCCTTCCTTCCTTCCTTCCTTCCCTCTTTGGTTCCATCTTTCCTTGTCTCCTTCCTTCCTTCCTTCTTTCCTTCCTTCCTTCCTTCCTTCCTTCCTTCCTTCTTTCCTTCCCTCCTTCTTCTTCCTTCCTTCCTTCCTTCCTTCCTTCCTTCCTTCCTTCCTTCCTTCCCTTTGGTCTTTCTTTCCCTCCTCCTTCCCTTCCTTCCTTCCTTCCTTCCTTCCTTCCTTCCTTCTCCTCTGGTTCCATCTTTCCTTGTCTCCTTCCTTCCTTCCTTCCTTCCTTCCTCCCTTCCCTTCCTCCCTTCCCTCTTTCTTCCTCTTCCTTTTCTTCCTTCCTTCCTTCCTTCCTCCTCTTCCTTCCTTCCTTCCTTCCTTCCTCTTTTTCTTCTTTCTTCCTTCTTCCTTCTCTTTCCTTCCTTCCTTCCTTCCTTCTTCCTTCCCTCCCTCCTTTTCATTCTCCTTCCTTCCTTCCTTCCTTCCTTCCTTCCTTCCTTCCTTCCTTTCCTTCCCTCTTTTCCCTTTCCTTCCTTCCTTCCTTCCTCCTCCTTCTTCCTTCCCCCTTTCCTTCCTTCCTTCCTTCACCCTTTCCTTCCTTCCTTCTTCCTTCTTCCTTCCTTCCTCCTTCCCTCTTTCTCTCCTTCTCCTTCCTTCCTCTCTTCCCTCTTCCTTCCTTCCTTCCTTCCTTCCTTCCTTCCTTCCTTCCTTCCCTCTTTGGTTCCATCTTTCCTTGTCTCCTTCCTTCCTTCCTTCCTTCCTTCCTTCCTTCCTTCCTTCCCTCTTTGGTTCCATCTTTCCTTGTCCTCCTTCCTTCCTTCCTTCCTTTCTCCCTCTCCCTTCTTCTTCTTCCTTCCTTCCCTCCTCTCCCTCCCTCCCTCCCTCCCTCCCTCTTTCTCTTTTGTTCCTTCTCTCCTTCCTTTCTGCCTTGTTTCCTTCCTTCTCTCATTTTTTTATTTCCTTCTCTCCTTCCTTTCTTCTTTCTTTCTTTCTTTCCTTCATCTCTCCTTCCCTCCTTCTTTCCCTCTTTCTCTCCTTCCCTTCTTCCCCCTTTCTGTGTATATGTGTTTTGTGTGTATATATATGCATATATGTGTGTATATATTTGTATGTGTGTGTATATGCTTTTATATGTGGTTTTGCGCATGTGGTGTAATGCATTTTTGTTGGGGTTTTTGTTTTTGCTTTTTAAGTCCCTTCTGCTGTGCTTTCCAGTGTTTGTATGAGTGATGGTCACTCGTTGGCCTGGTAGGTGTCTTGTGTCCAAATTTGGTGTCAATTCGTCCAGTGGTTTTTGAGTTCTGTTAATCCCACAAACAAACATTACATATTTATTTCTATAGATATAGATATAAAATAATATTCTGCCTTTCTCCCGCAAACAAGTGTGGTGCGGTGATCTGAGCACTGGGTCACAACACTAGAGATCCCCGCTTGCTGTGGTGGGCATTCTCTCAGCCTCAGAGGAGGGCAAAGGCCAAGCAATCTTGCCAAGACAACCCCATGATAGGTTCACCCAAGGGTCACCTTAAGCCTGATCCAGCTTCACAGCACACAACAACAAACAACACAATGCACCTCCAAGGAAGGAGATGGATGTGGCAAACCTCAAACAGGGAAATGGGGATGGATTTCCCAGAAGCCGAAGAGCAAACCAACACAGATTCTGTTATCGCTACTTGACGCTTATTGTGAGTGGCCATTGTGCTCCTCTTGTGTGCCTTGGAGCTTTGCAGAGATAGACCACGGATCTGAACCCCACGGCCTTTGCATCCCATTGTTTTAGCCCATGCCCATCTAGATAATACGTCCATTAAGGGCAGAAAGCCTTGTGATAAGGTGGGCTCTGGTTCACAAACACACTGGATTGAATCTTTAAGTCTTCACATGCACAGACATGTCCTTAGACATACAGGTGTCTGTTTTGGGCCATGTTGTGGTGATTGCATCCAGTTGGCAGTTATTTCTCGTATCAGGGCAACGAGTCAATTGTATTACATTTCTAACAGAACAAAACAAACAAACAGACAAAATACAAAATTTGCAAGTGTGGTAGTTGATTAAATGTCCTTTGACCAGTATCTGGCCACGTGGAGTGCCTCTGGTGTTGCTGCAAGAATCCCACGGGAGCATTGCAGCGCAACCAAATCCCTGGGAGTCACTCTGGACCGTGCTCTGACCTACAAGAAGCACTGCCTGAACATCAAGCAAAAAGCTGACTGGCACAACCTGGGGATCACAACCAGACACAGTGAAGACATCTGCCCTTGCGCTGCGCTACTCTGCTGCTGAGTATGCATGCCCAGTGTGGAACACATCTCAACACACTAAAACAGTGGATGTGGCTCTTAATGAGACATGCCGCATTATCACGGGGTGTCTGCGCCCTACACCACTGGAGAAATTACACTGCTTAGCCGGTATTGCACCACCTGACATCCGCCGGGAAGTAGCAGCCAATAGTGAAAGGACCAAGGCAGAGACATCTCCAGCTCATCCCCTGTTTGGGTATCAGCCAGCACACCAACGACTTAAATCAAGAAATAGTTTTCTAAGATCTACAGAGACACTCGCTGGAACACCTCAGCAAGCGAGAGTCCAAAAGTGGCAGGCTCAAACCCAGAACCTCAATCAGTGGCTGATACCAAATGAGAGACTCCCCCCTGGGCACACAGAAGATGGGGCGACTTGGAAGGCGCTGAACAGACTGTGCTCTGGCACCACGAGATGCAGAGCCAACCTCAAGAAATGGGGCCACAAAGTGGAATCCGACATGCGAGTGTGGAGAAGAGCAAACCACTGACCACCTGCTGCAATGCAACCTGAGCCCTGCCACATGCACCATGGAGGACCTTCTTGCGGCAACACCAGAGGCACTCCAAGGGGACAGTTACTGGGCAAAGGACATTTAATCCACTACCAAGCTTGCAAACTTTGTGTTTTTTTATCTGTTTGTTTGTTTTGTTCTGCAATACAATGGTCTGGTTGCCCCAAACACGATAAATAAATAGTGATGCAATGGGAGTGGGCCAAGAGCCATGGCTGGATATAGAGTGGTGCTTTTTTGGAGAACTGCTCATCAGGTTCCTCAATGTGAACCTCTTGTTTCACTGACTTTGCAAGCACATTCACAGACATGAAATAGGTGGCACAATAATAATCATACATTGGGTTGTTGTAGGTTTTTTGGGCTGTATGGCATCGTCCCCCATTCTGTATCTTATGATTACGATCATGATATTGGGTTGTTGTAGGTTTTTTCGGGCTATATGGCCATGGTCTAGAGGCATTCTCTCCTGACATTTTGCCTGCATCTATGGCAAGCATCCTCAGAGGTAGTGAGGTCTGTTGGAACTAGGAAAATGGGTTTATATATCTGTGGAATGACCAGGGTGGGACAAAGGACTCTTGTCTGCTGGAGCTTTGTGGAAATGTTTCAACTGACCACCTTGATTAGCATACAATGGCCTGGCAGTGCCTGGAGCAAACTTTTGTTGAGAGGTGATTAGATGTCCTTGTTTGTTTCCTCTCTGTTGTTGTGCTGTTGTAATTTTAGAGTTTTTTAATCCTGGTAGCCAGATTTTGTTCATTTTCATGGTTTCCTCCTTTCTGTTGAAATTGTCCACATGCTTCTTGTGGATTTCAATGGCTTCTCTGTGTAGACTGACATGGTGGTTGTGAGAGTGGTCCAGCATTTCTGTGTTCTCAAATAAAATGCTGGACCACTCTCACAACCACCATGTCAGACTACATAGAGAATCCACTGAAATCCACAAAAGTTTGCTCTAGGCACTGCCAGGCCATTGTATGCTAATCAAGGAGGTCAGTTGAAACATTTCCACAAAGCTCCAGCAGACAAGAGTAATTTGTCCCATCCTGGTCATTCCACAAATATATAAACCCCTTTTCCTAATCCCAACAGACCTCACTACCTCTGAGGATGCTTGCCATAGATGCAGGCGAAATGTCAGGAGAGAATGCCTCTAGACCATGGCCATATAGCCCGAAAAAACCTACAACAACCCAGTGATTCCGGCCATGAAAGCTTTCGACAATAGATTATGATATTATTTTACTGACACAAAACACAGTATGACACAACAAACAAGATATATATGCTCGATTTCTTATCACAAAATCACAATTCGAACACTTCTCAAGCATTTAGGACTGTGTAATGTAGAATCATAATGGATATTATTATTATTATTATTACTATTATTATTGGAAACACAACAAGATGAGTCCACAGCAGACACTCCAGCATTTCTGTGTTCTCAAATAATATGCTGTGTCCAGGTTGGACCACTCTCACAACCACCATGTCAGGCTACACAGAGAAGCCATTGAAATCCACAAGAAGCAGGTGGACAATTTCAACAGAAAGGAGGAAACCATGAAAATGAACAAAATCTGGCTACCAGTATTAAAAAAACTCTAAAATTACAACAGCAAAACAACAGAGGGAAAACAATCAGGGACATCTAATCACCTCTCAACAAAAGATTGCTCCAGGCAATGCTAATCAAGGTGGTCATTTGAAACATTCACACCTAGCTCCAGCAGACAAGAGTTCTTTGTCCCACCCTGGTCATTCCACAGATATATAACCCATTTTCCTAGTTCCAACAGACCTCACTACCTCTGAGGATGCTTGCCATAGATGCAGGCGAAATGTCAGGAGAGAATGCCTCTAGAACATGGCCATATAGCCCGAAAAAACCCACAAGAACCTATTATTATTATCATAGAATCAAAAAATCAAAGAGTTGGAAGAGACCTCATGGGCCATCCAGTCCAACCCCCTGCCAAGAAGCAGGAATATTGCATTCAAATCAACCCTGACAGATGGCCATCCAGCCTCTGTTTAAAAGCTTCCAAAGAAGGAGCCTCCACCACACTCCAGGGCAGAGAGTTCCACTGCTGAACGGCTCTCACAGTCAGGAAGTTCTTCCTCATGTTGAGATGGAATCTCCTCTCTTATTTGCACATTTTAGTTCTCAGTTTGCTAAAAGGAGTCTTGGAGGCCCATGCTGAGAACCCGCGACCAAATGCCGCAAGCCAGGCCACGAGTGTCGCTGCGACATTGCGGGAAACCATATTGCCTAAGCAAAAAGCGAGGCTTACCTCGGTGATGATGAAAAAGTCGTCCCCCGGCTGCCCCTGAACCACAATTTTCTCTCCGTCCTCAAACTGGACAGGTTCCAGCGCATCGGCCACCGTCAGTCGCTCCCATTTGTCTAGCGATTCTAAAACATGAACAATTGCAAAGAAAGGTTTCAAAGTGGCTGTTTTCTTGATCAGTCATTTGGTCCACCTGCTTACCACATGTCACCTAAGTCTGTTTCAGTGACTGAGCACATGAAAGGCATCTGCTGCCACTACAAAAGTCTGTAGACTAAAATCTAAGGCATCAGCCCTGTCTGACATATAATAATAATAATAATAATAATAATAATAATAATAATAATAATAATAGCAATAATAATAATAATAATAATAACAATAACACTGTCCAATCTTCCCAAGGAGACTCAGATCAGTCATAATAATAATAATAATAATAATAATAATAATAATAGAACCATAGAATCCTAGAGTTGGAAGAGACCTCCTGGGCCATCCAGTCCAACCCCATTCTGCCAAGAAGTAGGAAATATTGCATTCAAAGCACCCCTGACAGATGGCCATCCAGCCTCTGTTTCCAAAGCCTCCAAAGAGGGAGCCTTCACCACACTCTGGGGCAGGGAGTTCCACTGCTGAACGGCTCTCACAGTCAGGAAGTTCTTCCTCATGTTCAGATGGAATCTCCTTTCTTGTAGTTTGAAGCCATTGTTCCATTGTGTCCTAGTCTCCAAGGAAGCAGGAAACAAGCCTGCTCCCTCCTCCTCCCTGTGGCTTCCTCTCACATATTTATACATGGCCCTCATCATGTCTCCTCTCAGCCTTCTCTTCTTCAGGCTAAACATGCCCAGTCCTTAAGCCGCTCCTCATAGGGCTTGTTCTCCAGACCCTTGATCATTTTAGTCGCCCTCCTCTGGACCCATTCCAGCTTGTCAATATCTCTCTTGAATTGTGGTGCCCAGAATTGGACACAATATTCCAGGTGTGGTCTAACCAAGGCAGAATAGAGCATGGGGAGCATGACTTCCCTAGATCTAGACACTAGGCTCCTCTTGATCCCATTGGCTTTTTTGCCGCCACATCACATTCCTGGCTCATGTTTAACTTGTTGTCCACGAGGACTCCAAGATCTTTTTCACACGTACTGCTCTCGAGCCAGGCATCGTCCCCCATTCTGTATCTTTGCATTTCGTTTTTCCTGCCAAAGTGGAGTCTCTTGCATTTGTCCCTGTTGAACTTCATTTTGTTAGTTTTGGCCCATCATCTCTCAAATCTGTCAAGATCCCTTTGAATCCTGCTCCTGTCCTCTGGAGTACTGGCTCTCCCTCCCAATTTGGTGTCGTCTGCAAACTTGATGATCCTGCCTTCTAACCCTTCATCTAAGTCATTAATAAAGATCCTGAACAGGACGGAACCCTCGTGATGGCACTCCACTCGTCACTTCTTTCCAGAATAATAATAATAACAATAACAACAACAACAACAACAACAACAAACAAGAGCCGGTCTGAGTCCCTCTAGAGAAGATCAGGATATAAACATTTTAAATAAATAAAAAATAAACAACAACAACAACAACAACAGCACTGCCCTATCTCTCCGAGCATATATAGAGACACAGGCAAACATCCAATGCCTTTGACACACAATGAAACACAAATACACAGACAAAGGCAAAGGCTTCCCCTTTCATTTCCGACTCTGGAAACGGTGTGCTCATCTCCGTTTCCAAGCCAAGGAGCCTTCACTGTCCGTAGACACCTCCTAGGTCATGTAGCTGGCATGACTTTATGGGGCACTCTTTGACATTCCCACTGAGGCAGTACCTATTAATCTACTCACATCTGCATGTTTTCAAACTGCTAGGTTGGCAGGAGCTAGGGCCAACAGCTGGAACACACTCTGTCCTTTGGATTCAAACTGCCAACCTTCAGGTCAGCAGTTCAGAAGCACACGGGTTTGACCCATTGCACAACCAACACCACAACGAATATGTTTAATAGTCAGGTCTATTAAAGTGGCATCAAACTACTATAACTGTGTAAAGTGGCTATCCTGTGCTTTTTGGCTCAGTATGTTGTCCATCACTGCTTTCCATAGCAGCATCTCTTGGTGCTTTGCTTTCTCCAAATGCCTTGATTTGAAATGGACTATTCTGAATGGATCTACTCACATTTGCATGTTTTCGAACTGCTAGGTTGGCAGGAGCTGGGGTTGACAGCAGGAGCTCACCCCATCTCGTGGATGCGAACTACCAACCTTCAGGTTAGCAAGCCCAACAGCTCAACCGTTTAACCCATTGCGCCAACCATGGCCCCAATACTTGGGTGGAAGTTATAGGATTCTGAGATTTCCCAAGCTTTCAACTCCTGTACTTTCAAAAATGTTTGATTAAGATTGTCTCCCTCAGATGAGAAGGATCATCGAATCAGAGTTGGAAGAGACACCAAGGGCCATCCAGTCCAACCCCATACAGGAAAAGCACAACCAAAAGATGTCCACCCACACCCTACAGATGACCATTGAGATTATTTTCCAAATACTTTGCTTTGAACTGGATTATATGAGTCTACACTGCCATATCATCCAGTTCAAAGCAGATAGCCTGGATTTCATATGACAGCAGAGAAAAGGCCTTAAATTGGATCTCTATGACCATATAATCCAGATTATCAAAGTAGATAATTCACATGATCTGCTTTGAACTGAGTCCACACTGCAATATAATCCAGTTCAAAGCAGATAATATGGATTTTGTATGGCAGTGGAGAAGAAGCCACAGTCTGAATTTGAAAGGAGCTGTCCAAGGTGCTGAACTGTCTAAGAAGGTATCTGAGGCCCCATTTAAATCTAGATTATCTGCTTTGAACTGGATTATATGGCAGTGTATACTCATATAATCCAGTTCAAAGCAGTTAATCTGGATTATCTGCTTTGATAATCTGAATTATATGGCAGTGTAGATCCAACCTGACATATTTAGTCTAAAACCCCAAAAGGTGTCAGACTGGTTGCTTTGAATGCAATATTCCTGCTTCTTGGCAGAATGCGGTTGGACTGGATGATGGCCCAGGAGGTCTCTTCCAACTCTGATTCTAGGATTCTACATACACACACTGAGATAGTTCCTTTAGGTTCTTGTAGGTTTTTCCGGGCTATATGGCCATGTTCTAGAGGCATTCTCTCCTGACGTTTCGCCTGCATCTATGGCAAGCATCCTCAGAGGCAGTGAGGTCTGTTGGAACTAGGAAAAGGGGTTTATATATCTGTGGAATGACCAGGGTGGGACAAAGGACTCTTGTCTGTTGGAGCTCTTGAATGTTTCAACTGACCACCTTGATTTACAGAAAACCCGCACATAAAGATAGATATCTACATAAAAACTCCAACCATCATCCAAGTCAAAAAAGAAGCACCATTAAAGTTTTGGTAGACCGTGCAAAAAGAATCTGCGAACCCCACCTCCTCCAAGTTGGACTGAACCACCTCAACTGGGCTCTCCAGGCCAAGGGAGACTCCACCTCAGACATCAGAAGAGCTGACAATATCTGTGGAATGACCAGGGTGGGAACAAAGAACTCTTGTTTGTTGGAGCTAGGTGTGAATGTTTCAACTGACCACCTTGATTAGCATTTGATGGCCTGGAAGTGCCTGGGGCAATCTTTTGTTGAGAGGTGATTAGATGTCCCTTGTTTCCTCTCTGTTGTTTTGCTGTTGTAATTTTAGAGTTTTTTAATACTGGTAGCCAGATTTTGTTCATTTTCATGGTTTCCTCCTTTCTGTTGAAATTGTCCACATGCTTGTGGATTTCAATGGCTTCTCTGTGTAGTCTGACATGGTGGTTGTGAGAATGGTCCAGCATTTCTGTGTTCTCAAATAATATGCTGTGTCCAGGTTGGTTCATTGTGTGCTCTGCTCTGGCTGACTTCTCTGGTTGGATTAAGTCTGCAGTGCCTTTCATGTTCCTTGATTCGTGTTTGGGCAATGCTGCGTTTGGTGGTCCCTCTGGAGACTTCTTGTCCACAGCTGCATGGTACATGGTAGACTCCTGCAGAAGTGAGAGGATCCCTCTTGTCCTTTGCTGAACAGCATTTGTTGGATTTTCTTGGTGGGTCTGTAGATAGTTTGTATGTTGTGTTTCCTCATCAGCTTCCCTCTGCGGTCAGTGGTTCCCTTGATGTCTGGCAGGAACACTTTTCCTCTGGGTGGATCTTCGTCTTGACTCTCGTGGCTTCTTCTCGGTGGTCTTGCAGCTCTTCTGATGTCTGAGGTGGAGTCTCCATTGGCCTGGAGAGCCCAGTTGAGGTGGTTCAGTCCATCTTGGAGGAGGTGGGTTCGCAGATTCTTTTTGCACGGTCTGCCAAGGCTTTAATGGTGCTTCTTTTTTGACTTGGGTGATGGTTGGAGTTTTTAAATACCGTATATTCCGGCATATAAGACGACTGGGCGTATAAGACGACCCCCAACTTTTCCAGTTAAAATATAGAGTTAAGACGACTCCCATGCATAAGACTACACCTGCGTATAAGACGACCCCTGACTTTTGAAAAGATTTTCTTGGGTTAAAAAGTAGTCTTATACGCCAGAATATACTGTATCTATCTTTATGTGTGGGTTTTCTGTAAATCAAGGTGGTCAGTTGAAACATTCAAGAGCTCCAGCAGACAAGAGTCCTTCGTCTCACCCTGGTCATTCCACAGATATATAAACCCTTTTTCCTATTTCCAACTGACCTCACAAATTCTGAGGATGCTTGCCATAGATGCAGGCGAAACATCAGGAGAGAATGCCTCTAGAACATGGCCATATAGCCCGAAAAAACCTACAACAACCCAGTGATTCTGGCCACGAAAGCCTTCGACAATACATAGTTCCTTTAGCCAAAATCCAGAACGGATTGTTTACCCCACTGACATGGAAGTCACTGGCCAACCCTGTATGGGCATAATGGGACTGGAAGATGGAAACAGTCGAGCTGAGAAGGACTGCAGGAGAGAGAAGTAACTTTTCAGGCTAGAGATCTCCAGAAAATCTATCGGCCCATTCACCTGTCTGTAATGAACCTGCAAAGGAAGAGAAAGTGGCGCACCTAGGATGGAAACCTTGCTGAGGAACTCTTCGTACATCTTCCGTTTTCTCAGCGTGCTGCCCTGCAAAGGGAAAGAAAGGAGAAAACACAGTCAGGCTATCTGGAAAAGAGACAGGTATACATGAAACATCAATTACATTTGAGTTTAGACTTGGATCCCATCTCCAAGACGTTTCGTGACAGATCTCCTATGCTGACGATCATGCCATCACCACCCAAGCAGGGAGCTTAGAAATGGTTGAACAGAAGCTTTGGGTGCCCTTACTGCTATTAGAGCTTGTACCATCGACATTGACCCAAATGACCAGCCACAGCCAGAAGGGACAGAGAGTTTCATCTACGCTGATGATTGTGCCATCACTGCCCAAGCAGGAAGCTTTGAAATGGTTGAACAGAAGCTCACCAAAGCTTTAGGTGCTCTTACTGCCTATTACAGCTTGTACCATCAATGCTTAACATTGACCCAAATGACCAGCCACTGCCAGAAGGGACACAGGTTCATCTATGCTGATGATCATGCCATCACCACCCAAGCAGGGAGCTCTGAAATGGCTAAACAGAAGCTCTCTGAAGCTTTGGGTGCCCTTACTGCCTATTAGAGTTTGTACCATCGATGCTTAACATTGACCCAAGTGACCAGCCACTGCCAGAAGGGACAAAGTTTCATCTATGCTGATGATCGTGCCATCACCGCCCAAGCAGGGAGCTTTGAAATGGTTGAACAGAAGCTCTCTGAAGCTTTGGGTGCCCTTACTGCCTATTAGAGCTTGTACCATCGATGCTTAACATTAACCCAAGTGACCAGCCACTGCCAGAAGGGACAAAGTTTCATCTATGCTGATGATCGTGCCATCACCGCCCAAGCAGGGAGCTTTGAAATGGTTGAACAGAAGCTCTCTGAAGCTTTGGGTGCCCTTACTGCCTATTAGAGCTTGTACCATCAATGCTTAACATTGACCCAAATGACCAGCCACTGCCAGAAGGGACAGAGAGTTTCATCTATGCTGATGATTGTGCCATCACCGCCCAAGTAAGGAGCTTAGAAATGGTTGAACAGAAGCTCTCTGAAGCTTTGGGTGCCCTTACTGCCTATTACAGCTTGTACCATCAATGCTTAACATTGACCCAAATGACCATCTACTGCCAGAAAAGAGAGAGAGTTTCATCTATGCTGATGATCGTGCCATCACCACCCAAGCAGGGAGCTCTGAAATGGCTGAACAGAAGTTCCCTGAAGCTTTGGGTGCCTTTCTGCCTATTACAGCTTGTACCATTAATGTTTAACATCGATCCAAATGACCAGCCAGTGCCAGAAGGGACAGAGAGTTTTATCTATGCTGATGATCGTGCCATCACCACCCAAGCAGGGAGCTTTGAAATGGTTGAACAGAAGCTCTCTGAAGCTTTGGGTGCCCGTATTGCCTATTAGAGCATCAATGCTTAACATTGACCCAGATGACCAGCCACTGCCAGAAGGGACACAATTTCATCTATGCTGATGATCGTGCCATCACCGTACGAAAGCTGACTGGCACAACCTGGGATCACAACCAGACACAGTGAAGACATCTGCCCTTGGCTTGGCTACTCTGCTGCTGAGTACACATGCCCAGTACACTTCGCACCATGTTAATAGTGGATGTGACTTTTAATGAGACATGCCACATTATCACAGGATGTCTGCAACACCACACATGGCGTTACCCATCTCCAGAAACCATATTTACAGCCTCATTTTTGGAGCCAGGCCCAACAGTGGTAGGACTGAATGGTTCAGTTAGTTGCCTGCCCTTGGTGGGTGGGAGAGAATTGAGGAGTGGGATCTTGTGGGAGGGAAAAGGCCATAGGGACCCCCGCTTTTTCCTTTCTGGCAGCTGAAAAACAAGCGAATGTTGTGATTCACGCCCTGCTGCGCCCAGCTCAAGGGGCCAAGCGCAAAGCCTTTCAGATGTGCAACCGATGCTCTAATTGATTCATCACACCGATTAAGACTGTTCAGGCTCGGCGTCTTAACACGGAGCTGGACAGAAATCGCTTCCTCGGTTCCTCCTCGCTGGGTCCGCACCTGCCAGCCTCCACTTTGGAGGCCAAAAGGCTTCCTCGCAAGGGTGACATGTTAATCTTTCAAAGGCCGAGAAAAGCAGAGGCGAGGCTACTTGTTGGGCTGGAGAAGTTAAGCCATAAACAAAGGGTAGTATTTGCATCTTGGAGGAGAGTGGCCTTCACCTTCTAAACACTGCTGCCAAGGTTCGGAGACCTTCCTTCTCTTGGACTACGATTCCCACCGGTTGGCGGATTCTGGGTGTCAGGATTCAAGCAAGGAGCTTCTTTGCCTCCTTACTTGGACCCTAACACTTGTGGATACCACTGTAACTGCTCAACAGGGAGCCACGGTGGTGCAATGGGTTAAACCCTTGTGTAGGTTGGACTGCTGACCTGAAGGTTGCTGGTTCGAATCCACAAGATGAAGTGAGCTCCCATCTGTCAGCTCTAGCTTACAGGGACATGAGAGAAGCCTCCAAGCAGGACGGTAACATATCTGGGCATCCTCTGGGCAAGATCTCTGTAGACAGCCAGTTCTCTCACAGCCAAAGCAACTTGAAGTATGCTCTCAAGTCACTTCTGACATGATAAAAAAACTGGGATTTAGCTCTAGCTTGCAGGGAGAAGCCTCCCAGCAGGATGGTAACACATCTGGGCATCCCTTGGGCAACGTCTCTCTGGATGGTCAGTTCTCAAGCAGCAGAAGCAACTTGCAATAAGTTCTCTAGTCACTTCTGACATGATAAAAAAAACCTGCTCATTGGTACGGAATAGTGGGATTTATAGATTGGCAAAGTACCAGCACTCTTTGAGAGAGAAGGCGAATGCAGGGAGTTGTAAAATTACAACTCCTTGGATTCCACAGCACTGAGTCGTGGCAGCTAAAGTGGTCAATGCCCCTTTGGTCCCTCTAAAGCAGAGGTGAACTTTCTCATTTCTAGATTATAGTTTGGAGACTAGAACCCTTGCAATCCCTCATCATGATTGGCTTCAAACTACAAGAAAGGAGATTCCACCTGAACATTAGGAAGAACTTACTGACTGTAAGGAGAGCTGTTCAGCAGTGGAACTCCCTGCCCAGAAGTGTGGTGGAGGCTCCTTCTTAGGAGGCTTTTAAACAGAGGCTGGATGGCCATCTGTCGGTGGTACTTTGAATGCGATTGTCCTGCTCCTTGGCAGAATGGGGTTGAACTGGATGGCCCACCAGATCTCTTCCAACTCTAGGATTCTATAATTCTCGTATGCTTCTGCAAAAGTGTTTAGAGTGGCTTGTAGGTCTTCTACTGAATGTGCACAGACTACGTTATCATCAGCATATTGGAGTTCTGCAACAGATGTTGTGACCTGGGTTTTGGCTTCCAGTCTGCTTTGAATGCGATTGTCCTACTCCTTGGCAGAATGGGGTTGGACTAGATGGCCCACAATGTCTCTTCCAACTCTAGGATTCTATGATACTCATATGCTTCTGCAAAAGGTGTTTAAAGTGGCTTGTAGGTCTTAGAATCATAGAATCCTAGAATCCTAGAGTTGGAAGAGACCTCATGACCCTTGGTTTTGGCTTCTAGTCTGCTTTGAATGCAATTGTCCTGCTCCATGGCAGAATGGGGTTGGACTGGATGGCCCATCAAATCTCTTCCAACTCTAGGATTCTATGATTCTCGTATGCTTCTGCAAAGGTGTTTAGAGTGGCTTGTAGGTCTTCTTCTGAATGTGCACAGACTACGTTATCATCAGCATATTGGAGTTCTGCAACAGATGTTGTGACCTTGGTTTTGGCTTCCAGTCTGCTTTGAATGTGATTGTCCTGCTCCTTGGCAGAATGGGGTTGGACTGGATGGCCCAAATCTCTTCCAACTCTAGGATTCTATGATTCTCGTATGCTTCTGCAAAGGTGTTTAGAGTGGCTTGTAGGTCTTAGAATAATAGAATCCTAGAATCCTAGAGTTGGAAGAGAACTCCTGGGCCATTCAGTCCAACCCCATTCTGCCAAGAAGCAGGAATATTGCATTCAAAGCACCCCTGACAGATGGCCATCCAGCCCCTGTTTAAAAGCTTCCATAGAGAGAGCCTCCACCACACTCCAAGGCAGAGAGTTCCACTGCTGAACGGCTCTCACAGTCAGGAAGTTCTTACTCATGTTCAGATGAAATCTCCTTTCTTTTTCCGAATGTGCACAGACTATGTTATCATCAGCATATTGGAGTTCTGCAACAGGTGTTGTGACCTTGGTTTTGGCTTCCAGTCTGCTTTGAATGTGATTGTCCTGCTCCTTGGCAGAATAGGGTTGGACTGGAGGGCCCACCAGATCTCTTCCATCTCTAGGATTCTATGATTCTCGTATGCTTCTGCAAAGGTGTTTAGAGTGGCTTGTAGGTCTTCTTCTGAATGTGCACAGACTACGTTATCATCAGCATATTGGAGTTCTGCAACAGATGTTGTGACCTTGGTTTTGGCTTCCAGTCTGCTTTGAATGTGATTGTCCTGCTCCTTGGCAGAATGGGGTTGGACTGGAGGGCCCACCAGATCTCTTCCAACTCTAGGATTCTATGATTCTCGTATGCTTCTGCAAAGGTGTTTAGAGTGGCTTGTAGGTCTTAGAATAATAGAATCATAGAGTTGGAAGAGACTTCATGGGCCATCCAGTCCAACCCCTTGCCAAGAAGCAGGAATATTGAATTCAAAGCACCCCTGACAGATGGCCATCCAGCCTCTGTTTAAAAGCTTCCAAAGAAGGAGCCTCCACCACACTCCGGGGCAGAGAGTTCCACTGCTGAACGGCTCTCACAGTCAGGAAGTTCTTACTCATGTTCAGATGAAATCTCCTTTCTTTTTCCGAATGTGCACAGACTATGTTATCATCAGCATATTGGAGTTCTGCAACAGGTGTTGTGACCTTGGTTTTGGCTTCCAGTCTGCTTTGAATGTGATTGTCCTGCTCCTTGGCAGAATAGGGTTGGACTGGAGGGCCCACCAGATCTCTTCCATCTCTAGGATTCTATGATTCTCGTATGCTTCTGC